AAGAGCTTTATTTCACTATATGTCAAATTAGGGTTACATAATGTATATTAATAGTATATACTAGCCGCCCTAGAGATATTAGTAATTTCCAAACAATCCTTCAAATGACTGGCTGCCGTTGCTTTTCCCATCTCATGTCATTTGTTAGCCAAATAGTACTTACCATTTTCATCATAATCACTTCATATAAGTGCATTAATTACATATAATATTGTTTAACTGGGCCTAAATCTGGTTGGATTGGCTGAACTTGAATGGCAATCTAATAGAACCTATGGTCACAGGTGAGTACGAGCAACAGCAATGGGAGTTTCAAGTTTCTAGAAACTGCAAAGGACTTGCCTACCATTAGTAAGTTCATATATGATGTTAATGTTTTCTATTCATGAGAGTATTGCTTTAAAAATTCAAATCTTTTAGCTCGTCATGTTTTGGTTGCTTTCGTATGTGTTCTGTCATTTCCTTCAGGAAAAATCTACTGTCAACTTGGATGGATTTTCATCAATATAATTTACAGCTCCTAATACAGTACGAAATTATGTTCTTTTTCAGTGACTTCAAACATTCATTGCCTGAACACCATGATGAAGTGCATAGCGGTAAGAACTGTACCTGTCAGTGTTATGTAATTGTATACCAAGTTGCACATACTGAAATGCTTGATGCCACAGATTTTTTTCAAGTTTTAATGGTATCTGATGGTTCTAGTTCTGTTTAGTTAGTGATTGAAGCAAATCCCATTCAACTGTTAGACCTTTCATTGAATTTTGACTTGAGTTGATGCTCCATGCATTTAAGGAGAACCTGGAGACATTCACCATGCCTCATGATCATGTAATGTATTTCTGTGGCTATTTATTTTCAGCTTGGTGCAGTTGAGTTCCTTCGGAAACCACTCTCTGAAGATAAACTAAGGAATATATGGCAGCATGTGGTTCATAAGGTTTGCTAAGATTCTGTTTACTATTTGTAGGAACTTACTTTATGATCTCAATGCCATGAAGAGAATTTTTCTTACTTCATTGATCCTGAGCAGGCATTTAATGCAGGAGGGAGTGTTCAATCCAAATCACTAAAGCCTGTCAAAGATTCTATAGTTTCTATGCTTGAGCTCAAAGTGGAACTTGAAGAAAACAAGGATGAGAACATGGAGAAAACAGAAAATGTGTCTTTGGCTCACGAAAGCAATGAGCAGCAGTCACCAGCTAGAGATAAGCATCCAGCTCCTTCAACTTGGCAATTTAAACAAGTTGGGTGGCTGCTGGATGATGGAGATTGCCAAGACCATATTAACTTCTCAGTAGAAAAGGATAGTGTGGAGCAAGAGGGGGAGTCTAAATCATTCGAAACAACTTGTACCATGTCTCAAGAAACTCTACAAGCAGGGCATCCTCCATGCTTTATAGAGACTGTGATCAAAGAGACGGGCGGCTTAACTGATGGTGCCAAGAGTGAGAATAACATACATCCCAATCCACAAAATAAAGACAGTCTCAACCATTCTAATGATGTTGCTTCTGATCTTCATACTTCCGATGGGACTAGAGCTAATCGAAAGAAGATGAAGGTGCCTCTGATTAATCTGAATATCAAATACTTTTGAAGTTCCTGATCCTGTCCTCAGGCATAATCACATCACCCTTTCCCCCCTTCAAACTGTCCTACATTCATGAAATGCCTTTTCCACTTATATGCTAACTCAAAATGCTCTAAAGTTTAGTTTCTTTCTTTTTGTTTTTTCCCTTCTCATATTTTCCTCAAATAAACACTATTTTCAAGACCTGATGATCTTCATTTGTTTATTCTTGATTTGAATAGGAAGTAATGTCACAAGCATTAGCATCTACTATACTTGGATTTGTTAATTTAGAAAAGGTGTATGTTTTTCTTAATTTCATCAACGTGATTGCTCTTGGGTGATTGTTGTTTGTTTTTTATTTTGAGTTTTAGGTAGACTGGACACCAGAGCTTCACAAAAAATTCGTGCAAGCGGTGGAAAAACTAGGTGTAGATCAAGCAATTCCTTCACGAGTATTAGAGCTAATGCAAGTGGAAAGCTTGACAAGGCATAATGTAGCAAGTCATCTGCAGGTTCGTAGTAGACTTACCCTTACCAAATTTGTTAGCTTCTGTTCCAATAGGGATCGTTATATTTTTATTTGTTATAAGTTCTTGTAGCATTTGTTTTCCTTGTCTGTCGTTTCGTGGTCTGATCATTTTTTTTGTCTAATTGAAGTAATTTCCATTGGTCTGAACAGAGGTTGGAGACGCTTTTCCCATTGTCGTTGATTGTTTGCACTTAAAATTAGTTTCATAATCTATTAAATGCTATTTGTAATTATCTAGACAGTTTGGAACTAGTTCAAACTGCCTTTTATCCACTTCACAAAAATTCATACTCTAGCTAATTAAATACCACTGCATGTTTCCTGGCAGAAATATCGAATGCGCAGGAGGCCTATTTTGCCCAAGGAAGATGACCGGCGATGGCCACATCATAGAAAGCAAGAATCAAGGAGTTATTATCCATATAAACCTATCATGGCATACCCTCCATATCATTCTAACCATGATCTTCCAACCAGCCCAGTCTATCCTATGTGGGGACCAACAGGTAGTCACACAGCTAGCATGCATACATGGGGCACACCCAGCTATCTCCCATGGCCCCCAACAGAAATTTGGCACAGGAAGCCTTATCTAGGGGTAACTCTTGTTAAATTAAACACCATAACAGAGATTAAATTTTTTTTCTCCCTGTCTAGCATGCTTTAAAACTGATGGTATAAGCATTTTCTGGAGAACTTTGAATGCAGCTGTTTGATTTGTGCTCATTTTTATGTTTCAGATGCATGCGGATGCATGGGGTTGCCCTGTGATGCCACCATTGCATAGTCCTTTTTCTTCTTTTCCTCAAGTAAGCATAGCTATGTACAGGCCATAATCTATTTGTGTTTGTGTTCATGCCTCTTATTAAGGTTCTCATAAATTCTTTTGTTTGGAAAATGCAGAATGCATCTGGGTTTCAAAGTGCCAGCATGGTCAATAACAGCTGTGGCATTCCACAAAAATCTTTTGACCTACAGCCAGTATAGTAACATCTTACTTTTCCTTTTTATTCAGTTTTTCTGATAATTCTATTTATATTCATTGATCGCATTCAAGATCATATATTTTAGAACTTGGTCATAAAATGTGTTCTGGTTTGTTTAGCAAGAGTATGACAGCTTGGCTTGGGTGAGCTGTCACAATTCCTAGAAGTTTTTGGACTCTTTATCATGTTTTCAGTAAGTTAAACTGTCGAAACATATTCCAAAAAGAAGGGATTTTAAACCAGCAGCATCACATACCCTTAGCAATAAGCCGCAGGACAGTATAGTAGATGCAAGATGTTAAAACTCTGAATAAGTAATGCTTCCCAATGCTGTGCAAAACGCAGTAAATGAAGGGCGATTTTGGTTAATGAGTACGAGTACTTACCCCCATGGTCTAACAATGCCAGCAAAACAACCACGTTATTGGTTACAGATGTTCTCCAGTCCACTGACAACGGTTCCCACTTCCCATATATCTTTCATGTGCAATTTCCTAACATGTAATCCAAAGTTCAAATGTGCTCATGCAATAGTCATCGTTTTTTATCTTTCATTCAGGCTGAGGAGGTTATCAACATGGTAGTGAAAGAGGTAATCAACAAGCCTTGGCTACCGTTGCCCATAGGCCTCAAGCCCCCGTCTACAGATAGCGTCCTAGCGGAGCTCTCCAGGCAAGGCATCTCATCAATTCCTCCCCTCTGCTCTAATTCCTTCTAATGTGGTGCCATTTAATCAGATTATGGTAGCTAACTCTAGTTCAGCTGGTCCTTCATCAGTCTTCATCAAAAGATTAGACTCCACCAATCATAAAAAAGTTTTCGACAAACATGATTTGATACGTCCGTAGCAAATTCTAAATTGGCTCGAGACCGTCTATCTTATAGCTCACGTGTCTTTGAAGCGCATGTGCTAGAGATGACATCAGGCCACGTAAGGACAGCCAAAAAGGTCTCGCTGTCCATTGGCACAGTGAACAGACAGTCCGAAGAGGCAACATAAACATCTATGAAAGCCATGTAGACACCTTATGCATCTCATGTCAAAGTTGTGGTTGTGAACAGATCATAACAGAGGGCATGTTGGCCTGCTGGGTGTTCTGTTTTCTTGTAGAAAAAAAAAATTAGAGCTTTGTTTGAGAAATTGCTGAGGGTGTCGTTTTTTGGTCTGTTCAGTTGGGCCTTATCAATGTGTAATAATGGGCAATGGGGGTGATTGAGACTGCATGGATTTTGTCAATAATGTCGACGACTTGACATGAAATCATTGATGCTTGCTGACTAGTTTTCTATCTCTAACAGTCTTGATGGAGTCCTGAAATGAGGTGCAATTTGTTGAGAAATTGCCTGGCTTTTTGTTGATTGTTTGTAGTAAAAGTTCTTTTCCTAGGGTCCAAGCATTTAAGTTGGCCTCGATGCTGGAATGAATTGGCAAAGTGGTTGAATCAGAATGAATGATGGGATCAAAAGCGTCCAAGATGGATATTAGTCGGCTATAGATTTGAATTGCCTTTACCTCGGGGTGGTATTCTGAGTTGACTAAGTAGGTGGATGGATGGGGGATTTTTAAGGCTTTTTAACCTTCACTATTCGTCGAGAGAAGTGTGAATTGTGCTTTTACCCAATGGTCAAATGGACCGAATCAACGAATCATGTTCAGCTCCAACCAAGTAAACTACTTTGGAATTGCCTACCTAACCAATGAGAAAAGAAAAGGAAAAAAAGAAGAAGAAGAAGAAGAAGAAAAAAACCTCTTTAGTATACATGTCAATGGTTGGCCAACATTTGGGTAGGAGGGGATCAAGGTCCGGTCCTACCAAGAATTGCCCAAAAACAACCATTTAGGTGGTGGCTAAGCGGTAAGAACTTGGAATCAAGGGGTTTGCTCTCCAACCAAGTAAGCTACTTTGGAATTGCCTACCTAACCAATGAGAAAAGAAAAGGAAAAAAAAAAAGAAGAAGAAAAAGAAGAAAAAAACCTCTTTAGTATACATGTCAATGGTTGGCCAACATTTGGGTAGGAGGGGATCAAGGTCCGATCCTACCAAGAATTGCCCAGAAACGAATTCTATAATATGAAAAACTTCACATCAACATTCCATTTGGTTTTATTCATTGGGATTAGCATCAATTTAATGTTTTATGCTTTTCTTGTAACAAACAATAAGCATAAATAACAATAAAAACAAATACTTTCCTAATCTTATACATTCTTCATGGATTAATTTTGATGGTTTTACCTAAGCTAGACTAGGTTGTAAAGCACATATAACTTTTGGATAACTCATACAAGCATAAAAGAATCGTAGGAACCTTGACTTTTTAACTTTGAGTATAGTAAAAATAATACATTTAAATTTTGTTAAGGAGTTTCCAGAATCCTGTTAGAGAAATGTACAGTTGTTTAGGGTTTTTACAAATATTATTTGAATATTAGATGTTTTTTTTAGCTTTAAGGATAGATAGTCGCATACCACAAGTTGACTCAATGTTTGGCCTCTAACGATTATCTACATGAGCCACTAATGAGAAATCTTCTAAATTCTTTCAAGAGAGAAATTGTTAGACCTTTAAGTATTAACTCTTTTCTTTTGTGTTTTAAGACCTCTAACGATTATCTACATAAGCCACTAGTGAGAAATCTTCTAAACTCTTTCAAGAGAGAAATTATTATACCTTTAAGTACTAACTCTTTTCTTTTGTGTTTTAGGTGTTTCTATATTATGCTCTTGTATTATCATCTAATGTATAAAAAATAAGAGGCATGACTTTTTATTTACATGGAAGTTTAAAAAGCTATAAATAGTAAAATATTAATTACTCATTAGATAATATCATATATATTAGGTTAATTTTATAAACTTATTCAATCAAATCCTTGCTTGATTGTTTCTAGATCTAGAATTATAACTCCTATATTAATTATATTATAGTCTTTAATTTTTAAACTTATTTACAATTAAGTTACACTTAATTATTCATTCTATTTTAATTTCTAACCAATAGTTCTTATGTGTGTGACTTATTAAATTCCCTACTAAGTTGACCCAAATATAAATCAGAACTCTAAATAAAGTAGGATTAAATAAATTAAATAATTTAATTTATATATAATTAAACAATTAATTGGTTTATATTTGAAGATCAAGAACAATGTCTAATTATTTATCATAATCTCTCAAATATGAAGAAAGTTATAAGTAGTTAGACTTAATCTTTTAATGGCTAGTTTTTTAATGTAATTACTATCCTTTCATAAAAAAATATTATGATTTAGACATTGCAACATAGAACATGTTTGTTTTGTTAAATTATTTTATTTCTCAATGCTATAATCATTAATTATTTGAATATGATTTGAAACACTTTTCAAATCTTATTCCACCTTCACTAAGGATTTCAATGTTGATATTATTTAAGAACAAATGAAACATTTTCCTTAATCATTTAAGATGATGAATCCTCTCTTGATTACTTGGATACCTTCATATATTTTATGCTATAACTAATATTTTCCCTTTTGTTTTTTTATTAGAACAACGTGTAGTTAGGATCAAAGCATAACACTCCATAACTTAGAGATATCAAGTTTAAGGATTATTTACACAATTATCATATGAGTCTTTCCATAGATATAAATGATATCTCCATATAGAATTCTCTCGCAGTTAGTTCAGTGTATATGTTATCTAATAAATACCTGCATATGAGTTCTAAGTATCCCTCATATATTAATTTATGAGAACAGTTGCTTTCTTTTGTAAAGAAAGAAATATAATATTCATTAGTCTCAATATATCTAATTAATGTTCATTCTCAATAGAACATTGACCAAGAACATTTAGGAACAGGCTTTGATTTAATAGAAATCTCATAATTATAACAATTTTATAATTTTCTATACAAAGTATTTATGCTCCATAAACTTTATCTTCACTCTAGAATTATTAATCAAACATTAGATTCATTAATTAAATATAATTGAATATTAAAGATAAAAAAGTATTTATTGATATTAAATATATTTTATATAAATAAAGTTAGTTTTATATGTAAACAACTGATTAACTACATAACATATTTCACTAACAATGTTGATAATGCTTTGCAATTAAAATAAATAGCATATTCAAGTTTACACTAACAAGTTTTTACTTCTTTTTTTTAACTCTTTAAACTTTGTTAGTGCATCTTTATTTTTCTTTTTAGTACTGTAATGGAAATTATTATTATAATTATTTTACTAATAATGCTTTGCAATTAAAAACAAATAGCATATTCAAGTTTAAACTAACAAGTTTTGACCTTTTTATAGAACTCTTTAAACTTTGTTAGCGCATCTTTATTTTTCTTTTCAGTATTCCAAAGGAAATTATTATTTATATATATAAAAAGAAAATTATTCTATAATAGTTTTAATCGCTCATCTAAACATCTCATTTTATATGATGGTGCAACCACCTACAATGATAACATGGTTACTAGATATTTACAATAATAGTTTAGTCGCTCCTAACGAGGGTAATAATTATACATGATTATGTAATAGGTAGATTTATATATATAAATACTTACGAGTTGTTTGATTTATGACTATATATAAATACTTACGAGTTGTTTGGCAAGAAAAGGCTTTAACTTCACCAATTCGCTCACAAACACACAAACACACACATATCTATATAAAGAAAAATGGTTCCAACACTCTCTTTTTAAAATTCTTATCATTTCTTGTATATTCTCTATAAACATAAATATAAGCTCACAGGTTTTCCTCCACCTATATTAATACCAATTTAAATATAGATTTTTTTTCAAGTGCCAATGAAATCCAAGTTCAATAGTCACTTTCAATGACTCAATTTTTAAAGTCAATCAATCAATTGTAGAAATGACTAGAATGATTTGAGGGTTTTTTTTAGAACCCTTTTAGATATATAAAAAAACAAATTAAAAGATACCAATAGCTACTATGTTATGAGATGAGAGGAAAACATGTTGATTTATCAAAACTTATAATTTTTCTTAGAAATTAATAAGAATTATGATATAAAAGAGTAAACAATTATGGATGACACGTGATATTGGAAACAGGTAATGTAAGAGTCCGTTTGATATTATGATAATGATTGCTTATTAAAGTGTTTTTTGCTTGGAAAAATATTGAAATAATTTTTTTTATTTTTTAAAATTTATTTTTAACATCAACATATCAATACTATCTAAAAATACAAAAAAAATAATTAAAAGCAAAAAAATCAAAATTTTATAAAAGTGCTCTTCAACTATAAAAACAAATTTGGCTTAATATTGTGTTTGTTGTCATAACTAGCCATGTGTTTCAAAAATACTAATTTTTTATTTAAATTAATTTTTATTATATTTCTAGATCTTTTTGATGTTCTGATATGAAAAATAAATTTTAAAAAATAAAATTTAATTTAGATATAACATATTAAACTATCCAAAAATATTATAAAAATTAAATTAAAAAAAAAACAGTTAAAAATCATTTCAAAAAACCCCTTTATTCTGTTACAAAGACATCCCTCTTTTTTCCGGTGGGTTTATGGAATTATACGAGGTTGGATAAGGATGCCGTGTTGTTTTAGCAGTCTGGTTATTTTTTTTAGAAGTTTGAATTTTTTAATTGTTTGGGTATATTAATATTAAAAATAAAAATATTTTTAAATATTTTTTAAAATAAATATTATTATTATATTAAACAATATTTTATTTGTTTTTCTGGTGAGTTCCAACCGTTGCTATCTGACATGTATATTTTTAATATTTATTGTCAATGGATGGAAATTTATTAACTTTCGATTTGATAAATGTGATCAAAGTTATTTATATAATTGTTTTTGCATAGAGAATCACTTTTTTCTCACCGACCACAATTCTTTAATTGCCGACCAATCTCGTTGTAACCACTGCTTGGCTAATCCTCTTCTTCTCCTTTTTTTTTCACCCTCTTTTCATTTCAACCATGCACAATTTTTGTACGATTTTATATACACACACACATATTAGCAAAATAATTAATATTTAAAATCCGATTAATGGTATATGAATGTCTAAATTTCTTACTCGATAAGTAACGAGTATGAAATGAATATCAATAAATTCTATACACATATATTCATTGTCATTTATACTCAACATTTTATTTTAAATTATTTTTTTATTATATTTTATCCATTTTATTTTTATTACTCTTTGTTTTGTTATAATTTCTTTTCTTTTTTTTCATATTTCATTCATTGATATATTGATATTTTGTGATCAATAATTTTACTTTATTTTTCTTTTTTTTGTTTACTTTCATTAGAGTTAGTCCCAAAGCTTTTTATACACACACACACACATATATATATATATATATAACACAAACACGTATGTATATATGTATTTTATGTTAATATCAAGATATGTAAATATCACATTGTATTAAAATATCTAAATAATCTACAAGTATATTTTTATAATATAAATATGCCTTTTGGATTGAGTTCAAGCGGATTGTAGGTATGTTTTGATAATATTCATATTTTATTTATTATTTGCTGGGAAAAGATAACCATTTGAATAACATTAATTTGTTCAAGGTGGGCCAGCTAGTGTCGAGGTGGGATCTATTGAGTTCGAATTAAATTGTAATTTTTAATATTGAAGGATAAAATTAAAAATAAAAATTAAATTAAAAAAATATAAAAAATAAAATAAATAACAATTAAAAAAAATTACTAAATTTAAAATAAAAACTAAATGAAATTAGAACTAAAGGATGGGATTAAAAAAAACTAACCTACAAAAGATTTAAAAAATAGATAAAAAAACAAAATAATAAAGGTCGAATTTAAATAAAATCTCAATGAAACTAAATGATAGAGATGAAATTGAAAACAAAAATTAATTTACAAAAAAATATTTTAAAAAAAAATAAAAAAATAAAAATAAAAACCACATTATATAAAAATACAAATGACAAGAAGCTTATATACTTTACTTAAGAGAGGAGAGATAAAAAAAGAGGAGAAAAAACAAGTCTATCAAAGCCACATTGTCCTTCCACTTTTATTATGCACGACACCATTAAAAAGCTTTTAGTACATTACTTTAAATATTATCATGAAAAATAGTGTTTGAAAGTTGGAGAAACATACACATACGAACTGAAGATCATGGACTTTTTTTATGGTGCAAGTTCAATAATTCTTTCTTTTTAAATATATTTTATATGTATCAAAAGACCCAAAACCCCTGTACTCGAGTTAAAAAACAAAATTGCAAGGTTGATTAAATATTTACACTACACAAAAAAATTTAAAAATAAAAAATATTTTTTTTCAATGTTATAATTTTTGTTTATAAATGATAAATTAGTAATTCCATGCAATAAAAACATGAAAAAGACCAATCTACCCCAAACAAATTGGCAATACTAATTGAATCCCGTGAGAAACTATTTTACTCCAAAAAAAACTCAACCTTTTCCTTCCAATTACGGAGTGCAAAATCATAAATGTATTGAAATAATGAAAGATTGATTAGACAATTTTTTTATTAAATGATTTATTAATAAATTTTTTAATTTATATTTAAACTATCTTCTCAAAAGATATCAAATGTCACATTGAGAATATTGTATTATAAATTAATATAATCTCAATGGTAGTATTTTCAAATATAATTTTGTTAACAATAAACTGATTGCATTTTTATTATGCTTTATTTTGAAAAATATTATTTATTTTAATAATTTTTTTTCTTATAAATCTATGTTTATTCCCCTAACTTCGTACCTTGACATTTTATTTATTAAAAAATAAGATTTATAATTTATCATAATTTAATTTATACATACTTAGCTCGGTCTCAAAACCCATTTTACGATTTGACAAGTTAATTGATTGACTTAAGTTTTTTTTATTTGATTTTTTTATTTTTATTATTAGGAATTAAGTTTTATAATTTAGTTTAGTTTACTTTTTATGATATTATCTCAATCTCATAACTTAGGTTGAGTGTTAATCCAATTGAATTGAGTTGTTTTTGTCTTTTTTAATTGATATTTTTTTCAATTTGATTCTTCAGTGTTGAATTAATTAGGAATTAAGTTCTATAACTTTTCTTGATGTGATTTTTATGAGATTATCCTGGTTTTGTGACTCGGGTCATATGTTTTTCAGATTAACTTGGATAGACTTAGATATTTTATCATTTAATGTTTCTATTTTTTTTTAATTTTATTATTCAATAATGAGTTTATTAAAAATTGAATTTCATAATTTCTTTTGATTTGCTTTCTATAGGGTTATTATAGTTTCATGACTTTGATTATGGGTTTGAAATATTAACCTGAGTTGACTCAAATTATTATTATTTTTTATTTTTTATAAGATTATTCTGATCTCATGATTTAAGTTATAGATTTGGTAGGCTAACTCAATATGTTTTTTGGGTTTTTTTTTAAATTCTATTATTTAACAAATTAAGAATTGAATTTTATAATTTATTTTAATCTTTTATATGAGGTTATTATGGTTTAATAATCCAAGTTGTGAATTTAATAGATTAACCTAAATTGATTTAATATGTTGTCGTTTTAATAATTTTTTTTAAAAGATATTATTTTGATTTTTATAAACCAAATTATATTTTTACTAATTATTTAAATTATTTTTGTACTTATCAAATCACATCAAATTAACATCTATGTAATTTAATATTTTTTTTACTAAAATAACATTACCACAACTTGAATATTTATTTTTTATAATAATAAAAATTTAGTCACCCCTCCTGCTAAGCACTGGATAACAATCGAAGTAACTAAAGCTCGACCAGAACAACTTCTCTCACATTCCCTAAAATCAAATCAGGAGCGCATAATCATGAGCGGCAGGGCAGGGCATAAGTGGTATTGCACAATCATTAAAAAAAACAAATAATGAGAAATATGCCAGCTCACAAATAAGCAGGGGGGTCCTCATCTCCCTCGTCCACTTTCTAATTTCTGGATTCTCTTTCTTTCTTCTCCGAATAACCAAAATTAAAGCTCCCCCAAAATAATCCACCGATTAATCTGTAAGTCACTCAATTTTCTCAATCCTAATCTCCTTATAATTGTAACATGTTCCACCTTGTTTTTTCCTTTAGATCCTTCCTATCCAATCAATTAACTGGCATGGTGGTTTATTGTTCAATCATTTTGTCTATCATTTTTTTATATTTTTATAATTGACGTTTCTGTTTGGTTGGTGAGAAAAATCAGGAAAAAAAAGAGAAATCTTTTCTGTTTGGTTGGTGAGAGAAATCAGGAAAAAAAAGAGAAATCTTTTCTTTTTCAATTTTGAACTTTTGTTTTTGACTAAGCAAACTGATTTGTGAATCCTAATTTCAAGTATTGGGTCTGCCTTATAATTTTTTCTAACATAATTATTTCCAAAATCTGTGAATTATCGAAGATATTTAGTTTTTTTTTCTTTATTTACTGAGTAAATATGGTTTTTTAGGCTTCCAAGTAACTGAAATTGCGGTGCTAATGTGCGTTTTGATATTGAAGGTATAAGGCGAGTGAGCTGATGAAATAGAAGAAGAAAGTGAGTGGAAATTCCAGGGATTTTATAGGGGAACATGGCGTGTAAAGGATGCTTGGAGTGCCTACTGAAGCTCCTTAACTTCTTGCTCACTCTTGTGGGTCTGGCTATGATTGGTTTTGGGATTTACTTGTTTGTTGAGTATACAAGAGCTGATGACAACGTAGCACTAGTGTCGACGCTGAATGATGGTCAGGGTTTGACGCAGCTTGGTCGCCCTATGCTTATGACTGTGTCTCTTTCGGACAATATCCTTGATAAGCTGCCAAAAGCTTGGTGTGTGGCTTTTTTTTTAGTGATTTTGATTTGTGCTTAAAGATTTTTGTTTTAGCTCAATTGTGCTTGAAGTTGTGTCTGAGAAACCTGTTATTTGATTTTAATTGTAAAAGCAAGTTGATAGGAGATGGTAATTGAATTTTTGATGGGTTTGATCCTAGTGTAAGCTCCATCTGGCACTTGAAAAGAATGGGGAAAATGAAGCCCAATAGCTGAAATTCTCCAAGAAGCTAACCCATTTTCATAAACTTCTACCTGCCTCTTCCCTCGTTCTCGAGTAGATTGAAGTAGAGCTAATTCTATTTTCGATAAGTGATTTTATTGATGTGAAACATTACGAACTGCATTTCTTTTACGGATCGTTTTCCACCAATCTCTTTGTAATTATTTTTATAATTGGTTCTGTGGCTTTTTTTTTTTTTCACCGGGCTTTGGTTGATTTGGTGAAAGCTAGGTGGGTGGATGGATCCTGGTTTTGGTCACAACAATCAGATTGAAGAAAAGTTATTTGGAAATTCAGTTGGCTGTCATTGTTTAGCTTAAGTGCAAAAAGTGGTCATGAGTTTGAAATTTACAGTTAACATAATCTGCAAGTTGCATCAATGCCGACTCATTTTATTACACTGCACTAAATATCTCGTACTCTGGGACATCACAAATAATTGATATAAACTCTAAATCGGCAACAACTGTATAGCATAGATGATAATCAAGGAAGATTGAAGAGTAAATTGTTTTGATGGTGATCATAGGAGTATGATGTTGGTGTGCTAATGCTAGTAGTGGTGCTCACAGTAATGATGATGATTGTGTTGTAGTGTCTGCGGAGATGTTGGTGGAAACTGGAAAAGCATGGTGGGATAGGAGTAGTGATGATTGTAATAGTGGAAGACAATAATATCTCATACCCATCCCCTGACTTATATGCCAGTTGCTTCCTTTGATAATAAAAATCTAGCGGTGTTCCATCCACACCCTTGGTTTCCATTTTTGTTCTCAGTCATCTGCATCCTGCATTTGTTTCTTAGTAATCTTAATTTGACTGAGAATAGGACCTGTAGAGAGTAACATAGTTCATACTATGATAGCTAGAAAGTAGTATTTTTGCCATAAGATGTGCCTTTTACAATTTTATGATTTCTCAGAATATGGTACCTATAAAAAGACACTGTTTTTTCCTTTCTCAAGGTAAGGTGTCAGGGTATTGCTAAACATTGAATTTCTTGCAGCAAGTATTGCTATAAGATTTTAGCTGTACTCATTTATGGGTGGTTCGGTTCTCTCTCTCTCTCTCTTTTAAGTCGTAAAATACTCTGATTTGATTAAATGAATGACAGATGTTTGGGAGTTAAGAATTTATTGTCTAGATTAATACTTTGATATGAAAACTTTGAAGTTGTAAACAACAAGTTTACTGGTGTGAGTCTTTAGACTGATCACTTCAAGCAAAAAAGGCTGGCAATCAGACTATTTTCAATAACTTTGTTGCATCATTATGCAATAGCATTTGTAGTGATCTTTATATTATATATATTAAGATTCACACGGTGCAAGTTTAATCAAGCTGTATTTCTCCTTCACCTAGAGCTTTAGTCAAGCTGTATTTCTCCTTCACCTAGAGCTGTTTATTTGTTGGCAATGAAGAAGAGAACTAGAATGTGAAAAGTTATTTCTAACTAACTGCTGGTTCTGTTGGGCTTGCATGGTTATTGAAAAACTATACTGACTGCAAATTATATATTCATATTTGTCTTTATTATTTTCAAGTTTATCCTTAAATTGCCAAATTATCATTTTGCATCCGTTTCATTTGCAGGTTCATATACTTATTTGTTGCTGTAGGAGTAATTCTCTTCATCATCTCTTGTTTTGGTTGTATTGGAGCTGCAACACGAAATGGCTGCTGCTTGACTTGTGTATCCTATTTCACATTTGTTTTACTTCATCAGTACACTACTATTAGAATTAGTTGTGCCCACACCAAATGATGCTACAATGATTACCTGCCATTCTGCTGCATAAGATGCATCTTTGTTTTGTTCTTTTTTTTTTTGGGTTTTTGTTCTTGGCAAGTAAGACAGCATAAGATGTGACCTAGTCAATTCAATAATCTCACATGCTTGCAAAGAGTGTCTTCTTATTCTCCTTTTGTTATGCCTGAAAGAGTGTCCACTATTCAGCAGCAAAAGCATCAGGATGCTGTTTCTTCACTGATATACAAAAGGATTGGGAAGCATTGTTGCTTTAGTTCTGTTTTATTTCTTTTGGCTTGTTTTGATACTGGATCTCTTTCTCTTCTTTTCATCTATTCTCTTCCCTCATTCTGGAAAAAAGGAAGTCATTTTCTAGTTTCCCCTGACTACTACTTTAGTTTTCATTTTGCATCATTTGTATGTCTAGAGTAGAATTACTTATCATCAGTGAATTAAATCCTTGAAGATTAAGCTGGACATTTTTTATGGGACAGAGGAATAGTTCATATGTTCCTTGGCTTTGTGGTTTATGATGATTTGTTTCCTTAAGCCAACATAGTATTCAGTATTGATCGTCTTGTTGATATTGGTAGAGTTGGGATGTGCAGCTTTCATATTCTTTGATAAAAACTGGAAAGAAGTGAGTTTTCCATTTAGCCAATTTCTAGAGGTTTAATGTGTTATAGTCATCTAAATTTTTGTTATAATTTTTCCCTATCAGGAAATTCCACCAGACAAAACTGGAGATTTTGACATGCTATATGATTTCCTCAAAGAAAAATGGAACATTGTCAAATGGGTTGCTCTTGGAATAGTTATTTTGGAGGTAAGCATGAAATGATGCTTCTTACTTTTGTGAGGGTTGATATTTTCTATATAGACAGATTCAGAAACTGGGCAGCAGATCTGATTGATGGTAACATCTGTTTATTAATTTATAAAACAGGTTTGGGTTAAGGTACAATTAAAGATGTACGATACTGTTACTTCCCTCATATGTTCACTCATTGAGCATGTCCAAATGCATATTTTCTCCCCTTTTTTTATGACTCAGTGGGATCAATTTATTTTAGAGAGAGCATGGCTTAATTTATTTTAGGAATGTGAAGAATTCATGGCAAAACAATCATGTTTACGAAGGCAATGAACTTTTCTTTCGCTGTTGTTTTTCTTTAAGCACGGTCAAAGGGTATATGATCATAATTAAGAAATAATGAATCAGGAAAATATTTCAAGAGAATCTAATATGATGGGAATTTATGTTACAAGTTTCTAGGAGGTTTTATGATTTTTATGGACACATTTGAGCTCTTTGTGAAACTGTGCTTCTCTTGTACACTGAATCAGGAAAATATTTCAAGAGAATCGAATATGATGGGAATTTATGTTAGAAGTTTCTAGGAGATTTTATGATTTTTATGGACACATTTGAACTCTTTGTGAAACTGTGCTTCTCTTGTACAAGTTCCACCACTTGTGATTATCTATGGCCATGACCGGGACCAATTTGTCAAGACTGAATTGGGAGATGGGGTTTCATAGATCTTTTTTTGAACTCTCTCTCTCTCTCTCTCTGTGATATCAAGGAGCTTCTTAGTAGCTTGTTTACAATGAATTATTGTGTTGTTGCAGGCTTTGATTTTCTTGTTAGCCCTTCTGGTTAGGGCAGCAAACAGGCCACTAGAGTATGACAGTGATGATGAGCTCATTGCTCCTAGGCAACAGAACCGACAGCCTTTGCTTAACAGGCCACCAGCTCCTGCAACAGGTGTGCCTGTTGCTGGAACCCTTGATCAGCGTCCAAGCAGAAATGATGCCTGGAGTACACGAATGAGGGAAAAGGTTTGATTATTTCTGAATTTCAATGCAGTGAAAGTTTGACGCACCATCTGACAATTTTGCATGTTCCTGTGACCCTGTAGCTATCTTAGTCACACTTTCCTGGGAATCCATTTGATGTGGTATTCATTCACAAAGTTCATAATAAATGGATTTTCATTAAGCTTAAATTCAGGTTTTTGAGATTTGTGTAAAACTACAATAATTGTCCCACCACAGTACCATGTAGGATGGTAAACATCAGTTGTAGCTTGATCCTGTGTTTCATTGCTTTAGTTATTGTGTTCACACAAGGCATGAAGGTTGTAAACAAGCACTATTACATCTTGCTGTTTAGTAATCAGCCTTATTCTTGAATGTTTGAATGAGAATGTTTATGTGGCTTAACGCCTAGAACACACTTGGGTGATTGTTAGTAGTTCCATTAGGCATTGCTATTGTATTAGAAATTATCCTATAATTGGTTCTGCATCATGTACTTGCATGGTTTTATATCTTGTTCCATTGCTTGTTATACATATATGCTATGTAATCTCTCTATCAAAATTTGCTAGTTTCTGGTTCTGATTTACTTGTGTCTGTTCTTTGCTGCATGGAAACCAGTATGGGCTTGATACATCCGAGTTTACATACAACCCATCTGAGTCGCACAGGTTCCAGCCAGTGTCTGCGCAACCTGCTGAGGAAAGGAGTCGCTGCACCATCATGTGATGACTTAATGGATCTTGTTGATTGGGTTTCTGTATGCCATTTTCCTGGACGAGGGTGTGAGTTTTGATTGAGTTTGTGTACAATAAACATCAGGTTCATATATCACAGCCTTTCCGCTTATTGGTACCTTCTAAAGATCAACGCCTTTTCTGTGTATGCATTATGATTTTTAAATATCCAGAAGCAGCTCTTGTTCTTGCTTTTATTTCTGTGATTAGTTTCTGTTAATTGATTTGATTCCCTCATAAGAGACTCTTCCAATGCACCGTCCGCTTATTTCTAGAATGCCAAGCTTTTGCTCCAGTATCTCAAACATGTTCGTGTGCTATTTTAGAACAATAAAGTTTGCGCAAACTGAGCAGTTTCTTTGGGGCTCAAACCACTAGGTCAACATTGTTTTCTCAACACCAGCGTTTTGTTGTAAAGTTCGGTTCAATTTTTTCTTTTTCTAAAGGAAAAAAAGAAAAAAAAGAAGAGAAAAGAATATGCTTGTGTTGACAATGTGTTTTTATTAAGAAAAGCTATAATTGTAAAATAAAAATTTGATGCGTGTTTAGTAAAATAAATTTAGAAATATTTGTTAATAAAAATAAAAAGAATTGTTAATATTAGTTAAAAATTAATTGAGGAGTTGAAAAATAAATATAAATTAAAATATTTGATTTTATGCTATGAAAAGCTTTGTAGATTATTTATTTATTTATTTGTATGACAATAATTTGTTTTTAAGAAGAGTAGTAATCTTAATTCTATTAAAATAAAATAATTTTCTCATATAATTTTTTATTTTTTAATAAAAAAACTAGATTTTCAAGCTATGTTATTTATTCATTAAGAAATGAAAGTATTACAGCACATAAAAAAAAAGTTGAGTGATATGATAAAAAAAATATTTCTTTAATTTAAACCCTGTTATCTTATTATTCATGCGCTCTTTTTTTTTTTTTATATATATAGTTTTACTAGAATAATTTTTTTTTAAATAACAGGTTATACAAATGTATTAGAAAAAAAATATATTTTGATAATTTTTATGTGAATGTATTAGAAAAGAAAAGAACAATATAACACTTACACATTGTCACAAAAACTTTTCTAAATCTATTTTTTTGTCTAAGACATTCATAGGAATTTTTTTTTTTTGTCAAAACCTACTTTTACAATTTCATGTAATTTTTTATTTTTACATTTTTTTTTAATAAGAAGCGTGGTTTCAAAAACAATATTGCCAATAACTATAATGACTTGAACTTCACTTCCATAGATTATTCATGACCACAAACATAATTTTTTTTTTTGCATAGTAGGTTAAAAAATAATAATTAATGAAATGATTCTTAATATTATATAAAAAATCTAAAATCTTATTTATAAATAACTATCAAGTTGAATGATATATAATAAAATAATATCTTAAATATGATTTTATTTATTAATTTATAATGTTTTTTTAAATAAAAGAAAACAATTACGAAGGGTTGTATTAGAGCGGTTGCTAATATTTAAAAAAATATATGTTAGAATGTTATTTGAAAAAAATTCAAAGTTGAATAGTATTTAATGAAATAATATTCTAAATGTAATTTTAGTTACTTTATTTTAATGGATTTTAATTGAAAAATAAAAAACAAAAACTTTCATAAAAAATCCCCAGCACTTAAGCTTGGGTGAGCCAACTAATACGAATCCTATGGATATAAAGACCTAGAAATTCATAGTTAAGTTATTGATTCTCAAAAAAGTTAAGATTAAATTTGAAATTGAAGTTGACATAATAATAACCTGCTTCGAGACATCAAAATTATAAGAACCACCCTTCACCTAACGTCTATGAAGAGACACGAACGAGAAGTATAAGAAAAATATAAAAAAAACTTGGTTAATTCTTTAATAAGTCAAAGTAGTTACATAATGAATTAAGAGTAAGAACAAACTCTTTCTCATGAGTTGTATTTTTGAATAAATCAATCTATCTCTTTTTTTTTAAAAAACCCTTCAAGCTAAATAACCCTATATTCTCTGTTTTTTTTTTTTAAAACCCTTCAAGCTAAATAACCCTATATATAGTAGGTAAAATATCCTAAATAATACCAAAAAAATAAAAAAAGTTCTAAATAAAAAAAAGAACGATAAATTAAACTAATGTAGTTACATCATAATAGCTTCTAGATCTTATAACAGGCCCTTTTAAATGTTCGATTGACTCTAAAATTTTATCCAATATAAAAAATGCTCTCTGTCATATGAATGCATTAAGGAGTCTTACCGTATATGAACAAAAATATTGAGATGTCTAGTTTCCATTCTAATTAGATTCGTAGTGAAACACCTTTTATAACTTCAAATATGACCCAAACAATACATAAATGTTTAGTTTGATATATTTGCAACTTGTTAACTTAAATATCCAGAATCAATTCAGTCAATTTTTCTTGTATTCTCTTAGTTAGAGATATTGTAATAGGCCTAATTGATACCTTTGTTGGACCATCTGGTGATGCTTGCTGATTGGTTTAGAGTTAAGTGGTTCAATTATTGATCTAAAATAGAAAAGGCTAGGCATGAGTGGGGGTATGCAAGGCCAAATTAGTATGCCTAACCCTCCTTTTTCTTTTTTTTTTAACACATCATCCATCTATTTTTCTTTTAAAATAAAACAAATAAAAATAAAGCTAGGTCTATATTTCAGACACCAGAAAGGTGATCGAAAAGCTAGGTCTTATGTTTTTGGACTGAAAAATTTATTTTTAATATTTTTTCACCTAAAAGCACTTGATGAGCACCTTTAGACTTTAATATACTAATTTCTCACCTCGAAACCCTTAAATTAATAAAAAAATACAAAATTAAATAGAAAAGGTCTTTTATAACCTTAATCTATTTTTTCTAGTGACATTGAAGCTTAAAAACACTTTAATCTTTAATAGCACTCCTCTCATCAATAGGAACACTTTAACACCAAATTTAATTTTGTTTTCTTTTCTCTAGGATTTGACCAACCAATCACCTTTTCTTTCCTTTAATATTTTTGGTGACTCTCTCCCAAAAAAAATACAAGGACTAAGGCATAAAACAAATGATGTATTGGACTGATATGCCAAATCTTCAACAAATAAAAATAAAAAGTGAAAAATAAAAAAACTTTAGGGAGAAAATTTCTAAAAAATTATCTAATGAACACTAAAAAAAGAGAAAAAGAGGTTCCTTCTTACTTTAGTTTCAAATTTTGTCTTTTATTTTTTTAGCAACAAAATCAAATCTTCTTTGTCCAAATTACATAACAACTTAGTGTCAAGGCTTTCTCTGACACATGTGAACTGAGCTAGTTAAAACAAATCATCATGTGCAGTCTCAGTTGATGCAATATAGGACATGTATAAAAAAAAAGGTTCTTTGTCTAGAATAGAAAATGTTTAAATAACCAAAAAAAAGAAAGAAAGAAAAACATTATTCCAATCCACAATATTTTATCTCTAGTTTTACAATGTTTGCTTGATCTCAATTAGGTTTTTTATAAGTGAAAATTACCCTACTCTTCTATAGTTTATTTGTTTTTTTTTCACCTTGCCTCCATGTTTTTGAAAATCACAATTTATATTCCATGGTTTATAAATTGCATAACATTTTATATTCGTATTGACAAAAAAAAAAGACAAAATAGTTTAAAATATTTACAAGTATACCATTATATTCCAATTTAGAACTAAAAATGCTTTTTATTGATTGAGAAAATTAAACTATTTTCTCAAGAAAATCCAACTACAAAATTATAAAATATGAGCAACTATTATATCTAATTTTTGAAGACATCACAACATGTATAAGAGCCTTTTTTATTAAAAAAAATAGTTTGTTAACCTTTTCACTTTTGAACACCATTTAAAACTCATGTATAATTCATTTTTTCATAGACATGACTTTAATCTGTATTACATGTTTTTATAAGCTCTTTATGATTAACAAAAAAATAGTTTGTTTACTTTTCAACATTGGACTCTATTCAAGACTCAGGTCTGGCTTATTCTTTCATAGATATGACTTTAGCCATATTGCGTGTCTTTATAAGCCATTTTTCTAACAAAAAATTATTCATGTTAATAAGTTTTAGCCTATAAAAAAGGAAGAGAGATGTTTTTCAAGTAAATTCATGACTAATTTGTATTCTACATATTATTTTTTATGATAAAAAATCAACAAAGCAAAACTCTCCGTTTGAAATCCAATGTTTTCTTTAGAAAATAGTTTTCCGTTTATCATATAATTCATTCAAGTCATTTATAAAAAAAAAGCTAGAAATATCAAAAAGCTAGAAATAAGGGATAATCGTTTCTTCACAAACCCATTTTCTCATATACTAACATAAATTTCCAAAATTACATCATAGCACTTGAATGATATATTCTAGACTTTTAACTAGGGAAATCTACATGTCTATTAGATGAAAATACTTTCATATTTATATATCAATGATTTCATTTTAATAATTAGACCTTTATGCACACAATTATTAAAATTTGAAACTTGGTTCTAAAACAAGAAAGATACTTTAAAAAAGAAAATGTTTTACAATATTTTTTTCTCATTTATTGAATCTTAAAAAAAAAAATGATGATGATACATACGCACCTTATAATAGCCACCGAGAAAGATAAACACAACTAGATCAATTGGAACTATTTTATTTTAAAGAGACCAATTACGATCACAATAGCCAAATAATTATTTGACGAAATCTATTATAAACTAGGATGAAAAATTATTCACAATGATGATGAAAAATGAGCAATAATAAACAAAAAAAATCCTCAAACTATGCTGGAGACAATGACAAGTATAATTAATGTTGTCTAAACTTAAATAATATACGAACAATACTCAGTCAATGATTAAAAGCAGAGAATATGAGATGACTATTAGGGTTACTTATAATTCAAGAAAACCAGTGCCCGGGAGGATTGTGTTTCTCATTGATTTCAAGGGGTACACTCACAAATAAAGTTAACATAAGTTGCTACTATATAAGTTTCAGCCTTGTCATCAGGAAATTTTAAGCTCTATCATTAGAAAGTCCAAGCCTT